GTGGGGCATCCAAAACGCCCATCTTTAGCCCGCCTTATCTCTACCCCAGCTTCGAACACCTGGAGACTCCCCATACGCATGGAGAACAAACTCTGACGCTTATCAAGAAACTTGCGGTGATGACACTTCTTCGATTTTACGATGGCAATTCTTTGAAGTTGCTCTAGTTAGGTGAGCCAAGAGGCAAACCTAGGCATCTTGTACCAGCTTCAGCCAGCAGGATGTGCTTCACGCCGTTCAGAGTTGTTCAAAGGGAGTCCAAACTTTTGGGAGAAGCGGCGAGGAAATCGTTGCCAGCTTGTCGAAAGCCTGGCATGGCTTAGAAACAAGAAAGCTCAGCGGCCCAGCAATTCAAGTTGTCAATAGACCCGCCGGCCGAGGTGCAAGCTCTACATGAAGCTCGCTAACGATCTACTAACTACCTGTTGCAACACTGCAAAGTCTATCCGACTTATGACAGGGAAAGCCAGGCGGTTATTTCGCTGTGAGTTGCTTCGATCACACCCCTTCCAAAACGTCGAAGCCACCGGCCTCAAGGATGAGCAGAGCTGGGCGCAGCCGAAGGCCGGCAGTGCGACAGGTGATGTTTTTGCTTGAAACCGAAAAATGCCCGAGAAACTAAGGGTTCCCCACTGTGGCTATGTTCCAGGCTTGCACAGTTGATTCTAGCAGTGTAGTTATAGATTAGTTGCTGTTTGGCAGCAGCTGGTCAGTTGTTGTGTGACTGAAATCAGGTTCAGCCACCGATGTGTCTCGCATCCACATCTGACGGACGTGAACATGGTGGTTTGAGCATGTGGTCGCAAAGGATCCTGCATCCAAATTTGCGTTTTGCACGTGTGAGTATAACTGCGCGATTGTGCGCGCTTAGGAAGCTTGAGGGTGCCCCGACTGAAATTGGTAGCGGAGCCGGTTGAAGCTGGCTAGAGGTGTAGGTGGACTCTGCGGAGGAGACTCCGGCACACTGGGTTGGCAAGGAGTTGCTGGCGGAGGTTTGCGCATGCTGCTGCTGCTGCAATCGATCTTGCTGGCCTTGGCGGAGACGATGAGCCTACGTGTTGGTCATCTCTGGAGCGATGGTCAGATAAGTGGAGTGAGCCAGAGGTCTCCACCGGACGAGAAGAAGCACGTCGACGGCTTACGAAGATACGGCGCGGGCCCTTGCGCAAGCCCGCGCTCTCATCAAGGACAAGCCCGGAATCGTGGATTTCATCAAGCGGCAAAAGGAAAGGGCAAGTTCTCCAAGAACAAGAGCAAAGGCAAGACCAACGTTGCCGGCTACTTCTCAAGCTTTTATAAGCAAAGGCAAGACCAACGTTGCCGGCTACTTCTCAAGCTTTTATGGTGATGAAAGGTTGCGCAGGAAAGCCAATACACGGGTTGAGTCATGTGTAGCAGCCTGAGTCATGTGTAGCAGCCGAGTTTGGAGATGCCTGTCCCCAATCCACCCGCAAAAAGTCATGCCTCGTCTTCAGGTCACACCTTGGTGGTCATTGGTGGTGGGTGCAGCTTGGAGCTAACACTTTGGACAAGCGAGGGCGCCTTCGTTCCGCTACTGTCTGGGATGCGAACGTTGCAGAAGTTGCAGGCGGCTTTTCCAACTTTGCGCGCAGATTTGATTACTTTTTAACAGTGTTCGAGCGCAGGAGCTGGGGGCAGCACTTCCAGCTGGTTCTGAAATTTATGAGGAATCGGGTACGCGGAGATCGGCAGCATGGTGGAGTTGAAGGTCGGCGCGATGATGAGTTGATGGATCCCTGACAGCGGATCAAGCTTTTTTTCGTCCTTCCGAAGCACCTTCACGAGATGGAGATGGACCTGGCCTCCGGTTCCAAGGTGCCGTCAGGCTCATGACCTTCGTCACCATCCCCTGAGCGTTCGGCCTCTCTCTTGGCGGGGCTGTGCTCGTGGATTGTGGGTGAAGGGATTGCGATAGTCCACGCGCTAGTCCACGAGCTTCAGCAGGACTTGTCGGGGCAAGGGATGAGAGACGCGCTGCACAGAGCTCTTTAGCATCCATGGTGAACGTCAAAGGATTGTGGTGGAAGGGAGGCGCCGGCGCCGGAACTCTGCGCAGCTGCGCTTGGGGCGCGGCCTGGCTCTTGAATCACGGACGCTTCACCAGATGGGGGAGAAGCCCAGCGATTTTGCGCAACACGATGGTGAGACCATCCGCACGCAGAAGGGAGAGAAGCTGAAGACTTCTGAAGACCGAGACGACCGCAGAGGAGCTCGAGCAGCACGAAAGCACGAGCTCAGAGAAGATGGAGACGGCCGAAAGGGAGTTGGACGAGTGGGACAATCCAGAAGTGGGGGAGCCCTTCCCCTCTCCCTTCCTGCTACCCGAAGTGCTGCAAGTCCACAAAGTTTCCTGCGACCACCGCCAGCTCCTTGTTGACATGCTTGTTACCCGAAGCGCCCAAGAAAGCAGGAACCACGAGAAGCCGAGCTGCACTTCGAGACACGCCACTGTGACGTGAGATACGCGCAGGTTGGGGTCTGAGTGTCTGCGCGGGCAAGGGCCACACTGATGCGGCGCGCAGGTCGGGACAAACCCCGGTGGTGCGAATCTGGTTGGGGAGCTTTCGAGGTGGCACTCGTAATTTGTTTGCTTGATCGCTGGATTGTTTGTTCTGTGGGATTTGTTCGTGTGTGCGGCTGGGCGCGCTCACGCGTGCGTGTGGGGTGGTTGGGCATAAGCGCGCTGCGTAGAAAGATATACATACTTTTAGATATACGCGCGTCCATCCAACCATCCGTCCACACAAAAGTTATCTAGATTTACGAAAACGGTTGTTGCTTCTTGGTTTGGCCCTTTTGAAGCAAAAAGAGGGAAGCCATTCCGACTCGACCTGCGTTGTGTCGGCACTCAAGGCAGGTTACTTGATTTGCCACCAACCCGGCTTGACTGGCCCACTCCCGTGTTTGCTCACCCATTGCGTGGCGCGGGACGTTTGCAGTTATTTTTGGCGTGCGCAGGTTTTTCTGAATTGATTCAAAGGTTTCTGCATTTTTTCCCTCAGTTATCCAAAGAAAACCTTCTGGACGCTTGCGGTCTTTTTCTTCTTCCTCGTTTCTCTCTCTTCCATCCATCTTCCTGCTCTTGGCCCCGTTGTGCGACGATGGCGTCTTTGCTTCCCTGGTTGTTTGCTTCGTTTTTCCTCGTCCACTTGTTCGTGCGCTTCCTGTTGGCTCCCTTGTGGAATGGTTTCTTCTTCCTCTCGCTGGTCACCTTCTTTGTCTTCCTCAATTGGTTTTTTCGTTTTTGCGCATTTGTTTTCGCGTTAGACTCCCCTCTATGTGTATGTCCACTGTCTTCGTCTTCTTCGTCGGTCTTGCCGGTTCTTGGGCGTTCGGGGTCCTGTGCCGCTGTTGCCTTCGCCCCGTTGCAGGATGGTTTCCTGCTCCTCTGGATTCCTGGCACGTTGTTTGCTTTGTCTTTATTGTCTTCTTCGCCTTCAACAAAAATAAAACAACTGCATGATGTTGAAGGTTTCAGCACCTGATATTGCATCATCCTAAGCACAGCAGAGTTCTCACCAGGCTTACCAGGCTTGCTTCGGCGCCGTGCTGAGCTTGCAGAGATTTGCAGCCGTACCGCAAATTCCACGCGAGACCGGCAAGGCGCTGGCGCTGCCTTCACATTCTCGGGAAATCAACAGCAACATGTTTGTTTTCAGGGCGTTACGAGAAGGCGAACTACATATCGTATATCAAGAGTAGAAGTCCAAGTCTACGGTAAGTTTCCGGGTTTTCGACCAGAAGATGGTGGTTGCATGGTTCAAGGATTTCTTCTACGCGCAAAGTGTCCATTCTAGAAAAGTGGCCAAGCGTCGCAGAGATTCGCCTCATGGGCATTGTATGCTAGCCCAGAGCTAGCGGGTCGGTGTGAAGGTAGCGGCACGGCTGCATCCCGCCATGCCAAATGGCATATCGCTTTCTGGGGGGTGCGCTTCGCCAAGAGTTAGTTGAAGGCACATCCTGATCCCCCGTTTCACTGGTCGTCTAGAAATGTCTAAGGAATCGGTCAACCGGGGGCTGGGCGTGGCACTGTGTGAATAGTTTGGAATAGTTTGGACCTTGCAGTCTTACAGTTTCACATACATGGACAGCGCACTCAACAATGCATGACTTTGTTAACATGTGTTTCTTGATTTCCTGCCGAGCTCCCAACTTGAGTGGCATGCTTGGTGATCGCGCGCAGTAAAGAGCAGGATAAGTGAATTGCTGGTCATTGAGGGGAATTAGCATATGTAATATGAGAGGGATCGAACAAGCATTGAAATCTGTGAGTATAAAATGGCAGTTGCCACGTCTGGGTAGTCGATGAGTGTGATGCTTAAGTATATTTGATTTCAAGCCTGATGATTTGGAAGTTATATTGAGGTATATTGAGTGTACGTGCATTTATTTGTTGATAGATCAGGTTGTTTCGTTCAAGCGGTTGAGTACGCAAATTGGGTGATCGTAGATGTGAACAGCTCCAATATATATATATATATATATGCACATGTACAATTACACAGATGTGAGGTTGAGGAATTGTTCGGAATCACATATATATATATATACATAATTATGTGCAAAACATATATTTTATATATATACAGATGCACATATATAGTCGGTTCAATAACTGTTTTAATGTTTACAGATGTAGTTGGATGGCAAGGTTAGAGTAAAGAAATGGAGTAGCATATTTATATACTTGCTTTTTGCTAATGGATAACAATGGCATACCGTTAATTTCGGGATGAATGGGTTTATATAGCAGAAATCGTTTGAACACATGTTTATGTTGGGATAGGTAGTCACTTCAAAATAGTGTTCAATGTCATGAGTATTTAAATTGGCGGGGCCCAAGCAATGAGCAGCGTTTGTTTACCCAGTCATTCCGCCCACGCAAACGAGTGAACATGATCTTTCCAAAACGTATGTGTGTGTGCGCGTGCTATTCAGCACTAGTGTTTCCAAATTGTCAACCTTGGCACTGCCCCAGTTGCCTTAGCACTGCATGTGTTAGTAAAGTGAACGGCGTCACATGGCTGTGGCTCAAAAGTAGGTACCCCAAATGGCACCTTGGTAAATGGAACCAAAGACTAAACCCTGCGTAACCCTGGCTCTTAAATTTTGAGCCACACCCACATAGAGAGAGGCTTCGGGTCCCCACATCTTTGCATGGTGCTGCTCTCAAAGCTCCGCAGGCTTGGAGTTTCGTCTGGCCACCAAGCCCGCCTCAACATCCCACCTCGCTGGGATATGGCTGTGGTTGTCAAAATCGTTTTGGGATCCCATTTTGGTTGGTAGGTGCACCACACATGTTAGAACCCATTTTTAGTGGGGACTCGCATGTTCACCGGGGGTACTGGGTTTTGACCCACAGCCATATCTCTCCAATTTACAACTTGACAAGTTTTGTCAATTCTGCCGCCCAGCTCCATCTTGGGAGCCCAATTGCACATGGAGCATGCTTCTGGACACCGATGCCACGTTTGCACGCAGCCCTTTTGCTTGCTTTGAGAAGCTAGGCGTGTACAGAAAATAGCATAGTTGGCGGAGTACACCACAGCATGGCTGCGGCAACGACATTGATCCTCAAGATGACCACGAGCATGCGCTATCCGGAGAGGGGCTAAACGTTTGAGCAAGCACTCCGCTTGCCTTTGGGGTGGTCCATTCTTGGTTGGTTGCGCATGCAATATGATCAATCCTCATCTCTCATCGGGCTAGACAACATCGGTGACGTGCAAAGTGGGCCCATCTTGGGACTTTTTTGCTTTCGTGCTACGTACCTGACTTCAATTCAAGCGTGCCCAACAAAAGCAGATCATGTTTCTCTTAGCAGGCGGTGTGTGAATGGACATCTATTCTGCTTGAGGAAGCCTACGGGGGATCCATATTCCTTAAATGTTTTTAGTCCTTTGCTGTTTTTGTTTGGCAAAACGACACTGATTGAAGCGCAGTAGCTTGCGCTGGCTTTGCAAAGGATTGAGCAATTGAGCTCTTGAACATGTTGAAGATGGTCCTGCCATTGCGCAGTTGATCTTTGACTCATGGATTCTGCATGTGGATACTTGAGAAATCTTGAGTTGTTTGGACATTTCGACGTTTCGCCTCTTCAACTTCTGCCGATGTTTTTTGACTTTTCTTGTTTTTGCGTGTTGACTTTTCGCGTACCCCCAGTGAACATCCCAATCCAACCACTACCATAGGTTCTAAAATGGGTGGTGCACCTACCAGCCAAAATGGGATCCCAAAACGGTTTTGACAACCACAGGCAGTTGGTGAAATGGCCATCCGCACGCGCTTGAGGAGCTGCTGGCCTTCTTGGACCGAATGTGCCACTTGGCTGTGCCTCCGGCTGTGGCACCTATGGCCTACGACTTCGTCCACATGCCATGGAAGAAGCTGGTGGTGGTCAATTTCACCTCCTCCGAGGTGTTGATCCGATGCATCCGGTTCTTGCACTTGGTGTCCGAGAAGGACGCGGAATGTGGTTTCCCTGGGTCTGGGTCTTGTGATTCTTGTTCTAAGGGAATCAAGGCTTCTACCTTGTTTGCTTCTTTCTGTTAGCTGGCATGTTTGGATGCGGACGTGCTGAGTTGGGATGTGAGAGACCATCCTTGTTGCAGGATTGGAGGGCGCTACAAATGATTGGTAGCGCTGGGCCTACAGCCCGCCCAGAAAGCGTCTTGTGAATTTAAAGTGTTTACACTTTGACTGCTTGCATGAAAAGCTTCTACCCCACAGACTGGTCACTGTGAGGTTCAAAGCCAGCGTGACAATAGTTTCGGTGACTTCCACAATGGCGGCACTTTTTCCATCTTCAAGGAAGTAGGATGACGTTCAACTGTTTTGGCAAAGGCGGAGGCATCCGAGTTGCAACAGTCGCGAGAAATGCCAAGACTTTGTATCGCTTTCTTGTTCTGTGGTGCCAAAGTGGTCGAATGGGACGTAGGGAATGGCATTGGAAACAACCCCCGGCCTCGCATGTCGCCAGGCGGGAATCAAAAGCCTGCGGCTGGCGCAGCACCAGGGCCTTGCGCTGAACGTGGGGCTGTGTAGCCTACGAACACGGCACGGCGCGCAAGAGCCCATTGTCTTTCTGGGCGGCCAACAGGCGACGGATTTGGGAGGGTCGATGCTGGAAGTTCGAATGGAGGTTCATGGTGAGTGAACTTTTTGCTTCCGGCTCAGACCACCGACATTATTACAGGCACAGCGCATGTGCACAGGAGAAACTCGATTTGAGAAGGGGCCTTTTGTTTGACTTCGTTGGTTCAACAGAAACAGGAAGTTATCAGGCACGGCTGCGCGCGACCAGAGATGGGTGTGGGGGCGAGTCAGTTTTGTATGTGTTTCAAGCGCGCGTGTAGCAACGGTAGCAGTTCAGCAGGGGGTGCTACTGGTGCGTCCTGCTGATGCTACTTGTTTGATCTTGTTTGTCCTTTTGTTTGCATTCTTTCCTCTGACCTTTGGCTTGCCTCAGTTTCACACTCT